GTGTGGAATCAAGCTGTGATCAAAAATAAAAGTATATATAAAAAAAATGTTCCCACCTAGGCTCGAACTAAAATAGGACGAAATGCGTATCCTCGCTGGATTCCACTGCTAATCACCATCCACCAATTAAATTCGAATTACATGTCCAGATATCTTCGAAGCATGTGCACAAGAAGTCGACATGTCAACCTGAGACCGAGCACTTCGGCCGAATCAATCAATCGACGGGAAGATCTGAAATTAAATTAGATAATTAATATGACCCATTGCACAAGAGGTGGCTGTCATGGCCCAAGTGGTCTAGTGGATAACGCTTTGGCGTTGGAAACTATGGGCACTGGGTTTGAGCCTTGGTGGGAATATCATCACTCACTGGGGAATGCAGGCACATCCATCCAGATGACCAGTCCCGAATAGGACGAAATGCGCGTTATCCTGGATTCCACTGGATTCCACCATCCACCGATTAAATTCAATATACTATTTTGTTCAAATGTATAATTTTTTTCAACGGATGTACAATTGCATTAATTGTTCATCATTTAACGGTGAAAAAAGATTAGTGGAACTCCTCAATGACTAAGTACAGGTTCACTTATTTATGACTAGCTTATAAATCATTATACTAGTAGAAACAAACGTTACTCATTATGCAGCTGGCTGAACACAAGTAGGTAAAATGAGTTCAAACTCGTTGTCTAACTAGTAGTAAGTAGTGGTGTTAGAATGGCGGTAAGAAGATCGATTATAGTAGTCACCGTTTTGGGCAGACAATATGTTAAAAATAATTGAATGAATGAAAGTACTAATCATCTTTGCATGTTAGTGGTTAGTGGTATGAAACTAGTCTTCACCTTGGTGATAGAAAACAGTCAACTTATTAATTATTTCTTGTTTTACTACTACCACACTCTGTTGTATGTACTTTAGTAATTGTATTCTACTTCGTGTATATATTTCACTGCCGAAGTCAAGATGGTCTACTTCCTCATTTTTACCTTTTTGTTCTGTATTCTAATGATCATTTTTCTCTTCTTCTGTCGCGTGTGTGTGTAAGTTAATTTTCCAATTTCTTTCCCCCTTAATAACATGGATGCGCATATCTTTGTAGTGAATTGAAAGAGAAAAAAAACCACAATGAGAGTGACCCTATATTAATTAGACTGCACCTTACAATGAATTGTGTTTTTATTTTACCAGACGAAATTTAATTCAAGTGTGACATTAATCAAATTGAAAGTAATTCCGATTTACTTTTCTTCAGCGTACAATATTCATCATACAGCTTATTCTAAGGGTATTCTAATTTAGATATGACAACAGTTTCTGACCTTTTGCATTTTTTGACCTCTTTGTGTAACCTTTTCTTATTTTTTTTGTACATATTTATTGACAATCTTATGATGGTTGGTCACATGCCGAGTTAATTTTATTTTATTTTAAAATGTTTATTATTTAGTGTATATGTCCTACAATGGTTGGGACAAAAGAATACTTAAATATTGAATTATTAAGACAACGGGGACGGCACAATCAAGAACCATTACTTGTCGGTCCAGAATTTGATTACTGGGCTATTGGTGTATTGTTGTATGAATTATTCTACGGTCAAACACCATTCTACGATGAAGATGACGACAAAATGATGCAGAAGATTATGGACTATGGGGTAACTATGATTATTATTATTATCATTATCACTATTCCCTTGAGTTCCATTTCAATCTGTCCTCTGCAGTCTTTTTTTCAGGTGACTCCACAATTCCCCATAAGCCTTAATTCCCTCCTCACACGATCTCCTGCATGTTATCTTCGGAAACCTAACTCATCGTTTCTTATTCTGGTTCTACTTGGAGGCCTGACGTATGATGTTATCGAACGGTTTTCTCAGCATATTTTCAATCCATCGCCACTTCCCTCTGCATATTTTTTAGGCAATAGGTTCTTGATTAGTTTGTTTCCGAAATTCCCTGTTGCTTATCGTTTCTGGCTAACCGTCTGATCTTCAGTATGGGGGGTTAGGGGTAGGAAGGCAGATGTTGATGAAAATTTGCAATAGCCTCTTAAGAATGCTTTTGGTGACGCGTGCTCAAAGTCTCTGAACCACATAGCAGAAGTGACTTGACATTAGTGTGAAAAATCTACTAGATCTTGTTCCTTATGTTTTTAGTTCAAAGACTTCTAAACTGATTTCACAGTAATAATAATAATCTCGCTTTTCCGATCCCACCTGTAGTTGGAACGATACTGCTCAAATAAGTGAAAGACGTGACCTCAATCAAATGTCTTCCATTCATAGTGATTAGTTTTCACCTGTAGGTCTTATAGTTTGTTTGTGTGACAATAGACATAAATCATCCGTAAACTCCAGATCTAGATTCTGCTTATCGGTATAACGTATTCCTGTCTTGTCACTACTTCCCACTGTCTGTGGCATGATGTAGTCCACCACAATCAGTAATACCATTGGTGATAGTAGGCAGTCCTGCTCTACTCCTATCCTCACTCCAAAGGCTTCATTGGGTTTTCCGTTGGCGTATGATATTGTCACATAGCTGTTGAATGAGGTTGATACAAGTTTAGGACACTCTGTGTTGTTGAAGCAGTTTCCAAAATACACTGTCGAAGGCCTTCTCAAAGTTGAAGTTGAGATAGGGATTTGACTAGCGTTCTGTGCTCTCTGTTCGATTGTGATACGTGGCACTGCAATTCGATCAGCACATGATTCGCTTTTCCTGAATCCAATTGGTTCCGGTCGAGTTTTGCATTTATGAGCACTTTCTAGTCTCTCTGGAACAACACAACTTAACAGTATCATGCACATGAGCATGATTCTACGCCAGTTTTGCAAAGGCCTAAGCTAAGCTGATTACCTGAAATAGGGTCACTGGCTTCGCCCTCGATCTCCTCCCGGGTTAGAATCACTGGCTAGTTCACTAGTCTTCCCGCCTTTTCTTTTAACCAACTAAATTCTTTTGGTTTTCTTTTTCGCCACTTATTTCAGAAAACGCTGAAATTCCCACCATCATCAGAGATAACAGAATCAGCCATTGATTTGATTAAATCATTGATTATTACCCCATCGAAACGGCTAACTTATGAAGATGTTGTTATGCATACATTTTTCAAAGATGTCGACTTCACAACACTAAGAGAAGGTTAGTTAGTAATTTTGCTGATAAATCTTTTCTTGACTGATTTATTTATTTATCTACTCAATTATTTTATGAGTCAGTAAAAACCGTATGTTATAATCTCATTATGCACTTACTTTCCGTTGGAAGCGTATGATCTTCTTGTGTGGCTTTGAACTTTCAGTAACTGTGAGGTTGTTTTTTTAAGGGGTTGGGTTGTTATTCTCGCTAATAACCTTTCTAGAAATACTGTTGACTAGTAAACTTGGCGAGAGAATCGGACCTAGATCAGATCTCCTGCGTGATTGATAAGGATTCTATCACTGAACCACCGATGCATCGTAGATTGATGCGTGGAAGATCTCTGTTTCTGACAAGGGAATACTAACTTATCACATTCAATTATTGATCCATAAAACCGACGACGATTAGTTGCTTAGAGAAACTGCGTCTGAGAATTGCAAGTATTTGATAGGAGATATCGTGAAGAGATTACTAACTCTTATGAGAAATAACAGTTGAGTATTGTTAAGGGTAAATTTGGGAATTATACAAGGTATAACGTCTACTGTCTACTTTTCTATCCAAACTTCGATAGATGGGTTGTGGGTTGGGGTCCAGGCCCCAGTGATATAGTGGGATGGGAGTCAAACTCCTAAACTGGAAAGTATTTTTTAATCTGGTCAGTCTCAAAAATGTAAAATTTCGAAGCTGTGTAGGGAACTTGTTGTTGAAATCAGAAATAGAGGGCAAGTAAGACAACTGATAATAATAATTCTATGTGACTCAAACGCATTCAACGTCTTATTGTATGTCTATTTACCCGATTCGTTGTCGTATTCATTGTGATATTGTACATGAACGTTTGAACTTGGCTGTCTTAATCTATCGTTTTGATTTTTATTCCAACTCAAAGATTACTTAACGTCTTTTCGTGCGTAATAACTATACTTCACATGTATTTGATCCAGACCCAGTCATCCAGAAAAAAACTATTCCATATACTACACATTGATTATATAAAGGCTGATGATACTATTGAGTTGCCCAGATTAAATATTAGGTGGAGTGGGACTCGAACTTTGGAACTATTGGCTGTAAGCTGTGTTTCTGTTTAATTAAGCAGGTGAGCTGTATCATGAACAGCAAGTTAGATATATAATGAGCATAAAACATGGGCAATGTGATAAAGTATAACTACATAGTAATAGTAATACAGTATAATAAATATGTAAAATATTCAGTCTTACTGTATCACAATGTTACACCGAATAAATTAACGCTTATTGGAACGGATTGGTTAGTCCAATTCATAAAGAATGTAGATCAGCATGCTAGCTACCTGTCTTTGAAACCGGAAAAAATGGTTACAGGATTTCATCATGAGCTGACATTGGTTAGAGAACCATTGGGAAACCTGTGAGTACTGGATAGCCAGTTGTTTCGTCCTAGTTTGAAACTCTTCAGCAGTACGTGCCCACCACCGGGGACCGAATCCAGGACCTTCTGGTTACAAGGTGAGCTCGAATGATCACATATCCTAATTATACTTTTATTCACCTGATTCCTTGGATCTGGTGTTATTCACTATCTACTAATGAACATCTGATAGCTAGCACATCCGACCAATGTTAGCTATCAGTTGATCTCCACCATATTCATGAACAACTTCCTGGGATTTTTGTCATGATGTAAATTAGAGTATTAGTATTTAGTGGTTTCCTGCCAGTTCACTTCGTGAACCTACCTACCTATAAACCAGTAGAAATTTCATTCCTAATTTCTTCATAGTTTGTTTTTGGGCTGGTTACTATTTAATCAATAGTTAGTTATTGTAATTCATATGATATTCTTTCTTTTATGTAGTTACACCCCCATATTTACCTCCAGTTGGAGAACTTGATGATGTTTCGAATTTCTCTGGTGGGGGTTCACGTACCCGTGATGAAGCTATAATGGATGTTTCTACAAACAAAACCTTTTCCCCTGTTCGTTTCACTAAGTCATCATCAGTCCACGATGGATGTGCTGCCCAGTGTGCAACTTTAGACAATGATGATAATGAAGTCGATGAGACTGTTTTAGACAGACGTGCAGTCAAGAGTATTCCAGATGATGAAAATCAAGAGAATATTAATCCAGAGAAATCCTTAAGATCTACAGAAGAGGCAAAAAGACAAGCGATTCAAGAAGCTGCAGCTGTACCCATAAATGAGGAAATGGAAGAGATTGAGGATATTGAATGGCAAGGTTCTGAATGTGTCAGAGATTTGCCATTCCTCGGATATACATATACACCTGGATTAGTGTTATTTGGCAATCTTACCAAAAAGCAGACTCCTCTGTCGATAGCTGCTGCCAATGTTGGTACTTCGTTCGTTGTTAATCTAAGGTAAAGTTGAGCGTCTATGCAAATAAGGTGCTTACAACATTATACCGTTTTAGATATAGTGCTAGACTGTGTTACTCTAATTGCTTGTTTATCCTATACAGCTCTCATATATTTAGATGATAAAAGCTTTATAGTTTTGTCATTATAGATGTTTCCAATCGGCCTAAACAATAATCAGAGGAAAATTGATACCTATGTGCAACTTCCTAGCAGTCTAATCCTTTTTTTGTCGTCATGATTTTTCTCTTGTTACTAATTTGATTTCTGAGAATTAATCGGTTCTGTGGAAATTTTATGCCATAGGCATGCATTTCACTTTCGAAAGTGCCTCGAATAGTGGAAAGTGAACAGTGTTCACTGAGATCAATAAGAGTAAAAGTAATCATAATAATAATAATAGTAATTTCCTAGTGTGTTTTCCTATATGATCAAGTTAGAGTTTGAAATAATTGGAATTATGTTTCTAAAACGACTTCAGTTCCCTTTGGTTATATTTTCGGATTTGTATAGTCCTCCTTAAAATTTTAAATGAGTAACACTGAAATCATTTCCAATTAATATTTTTGATAAGATTGTACACGCGAATTTTTGCGTTCTATTCCCTGTGTTACGTTGTATAATGTAGTGAGTATTATTGAAGTTAGACGTAGTATTGGGTAAGGAAGGCAAATGAATCGGTGGGGGACGGTTGTAAAGGTAAGTCAAGTGAGATTGCTAGGACACGTGTTACGCATGCGCAGCCACCGCCCTCATCGTCGGGAAACGTAAGTTGAGGTCAGATTAGATTGGAAAAGAGTCATCATAAGTGGTCAAATCAAAACATGGCAGTAATCCATTTAGTTTGTAACTATCGGTCTGAACTACTTGGGGAGGTGTAGGATGCCTGGCTGGGGTCCTCTGGATTCTAAGAACCAATACCTGGAGATTGTTAGTGATGTGGCTTAAAATCGTCTCTAGTTGCGCAGATGCATTCAACCTGTTGTAGTTAGGACTCTCGCCAACCATGCATATGGTCTGGGGTTCGATCCCCTGCCGACACACACCTGATATCTACGGGAGGCCTGCAAAATTTGGCTACCGATATCACATGCTAAAAATTCCATACCTGTTCCAAAAAATACGGTGTGGAATCAAGCTGAAATAAAAAATAAAAAAAAATCGAATCAAAATTAAACTCTGATGTTTTTCTATGTTACTATTCTTTCTCGGAAACATTTCTGGCCATTAATAATCCCCTTGAGTTCATGTCTTCTTCTCTACATTTGTGTGCTATATATGGAGTATGACAACTGAACTACTGTTTCTATACAGAGTTCCACACTGAAACACTGCCAATCAAATATCGATTTATGTATTTCATTTACTCCTTCCTAGCCGGATAGAATTCAATCCTAACTTTATCCATTCTATAACGTTATTGCTAACGTTTTCACCTGGCTCCACCTCTTCCCACCTGTGGATCTCTGTTTCTGATCTTTTCTGGCCGGCCATCTGATCTTGAGTAGTATTGAGCGAAGACAGCTATTGATGAAGTTGTGTAGTTTGTTCAAAGTGCCCTTTCGTGACGCACCATGCCTCCGATCCGTATAGTAGCACTGACTTCCCATTGGAGTTTAAAATCCGGATCTTATTTTTCATGCTGAGTTCTGTTGACCTCCACACAGACTTAAGAGAAATGGAAGCTTTCCTTGCTTTCCCGATCCTCGCTGGTTTGATATACTCATCATTTCCATCACCTGTAATTGAAACGATGCTTCCCATGTCGGTAGGTAAAGAAGGTTGCTTCTTTCAGATTTTGGAAGGCTTCTTTTGACTTTATAGATGACTTTGAATGACTTCTCCTTGCAAATCGAATGACCAGTGTTGAGTATATGCTCAATAATGGCGCTCCTTATTGCTCCATTGTTACCTTTCCGTAGCCAGGCGGGATAGTGTTCTTGAACTCTTTTAGATAAAACTCGCATCGAACGACCTATATACCTCGCTCCGCAAGAGCAGGTGAATTGGTAGATACACATGGAAGTGGTCAAATGCGATAGTTTATCTTTAGAGTAGTTGAATATATATATATATATATATATATATATTCAGCCTATTCAGGTTCTTATTATAATGTCGTGAAATGTATTCACATAATGAAGAAAGATACATTAATGTGTAACCTTTTCTCTATCTTTAGAGGATTAAAGCTACCATTTAATTGTCTTGTGCGTTTTTAGTTTTGCATTACTGTTTGTTAATAGTAAAAGTCAGTTTTCAAATTTTTGAAATAATACCAATCTACTTGTTGAAGGTATTTTGAATTGTCTATTGATCGGTTGGTTATACTGAACTCTGAAGTGCTTGACAAAAATAGCAAGTGTTGGCTTGATCATGAGTTGACATCAGTTAGAGAATCACTAGAAAACCAGGAAGTACTGAACACAGTTGTTCCGTCCTGGTTTGTTACTCTGCAGAGTACGCACCCAGTGGGAGGGGGGGGGTTCGAAACCGAGACCTTCCAGTTACAAGACAGAAATGCAATACAAATTATAAGTGATACCTGTTGCACTAGCGTGGTGAGGTGGCTTTTGTTTCTCAATAGCCTAGTTGGATAACACTGGGATATGAAACAGTGCCTGCTTGATTTGAATCTGAATGGGAACACTATCGGCCACTGGGGGAACAAGTTTATTATCCCAGCAGGCGAGTGATTGATTCAACCAACGTAATAACCGCATTAATTTAATTCTTAAAAAAGAAATTTTTCAGGACTGATAGTATTATTTTCGCATTTATTTATTATTTTCAGTAAATTATGCATTACTCAGTAGTGATTTTTTTATCATTTCTCATAGGATTTACGTCAACGACTCGTTAGTGCCTTCGATAACGGTCATGTTCTGAAAGAAATAAACGAAGCTGTCCGTGTTCTTTCTGATACAGTTGTAGAAAAAGACAGGTAAGATAAGCTGTACTGTACCAGTTTGTAGTTTCTTTTTTTCTCTCTAAGGCTTAGTGATTTATCATAACAAGTTTGACATCTAACGTACTTATCTCTCACGTTAGCATTATGCCTGTTGTATTGTTGTTGTTTTTTAATCTTAATAGATCTACTATTGATCAGTTAAATTCTCGAATAAAACAGCTTCATGAAGAAAATCTTCGACTAACTGCATCACTACAGAGCTGTCAACAAGCACAAAGTGTAGTCGATCAAGTACAACAGGCTGTGGTATGTTACTGTCCGCTTATAAAAAAGTTATACTTTGATATGAAATTCTATTTTGATCATTCCTTTCACTTTTGTTAAACAAATCAGAGTATTCTATCATTCATAAGTTGGAAATTGGTGGAAAAGTGTGTTCATTCCCTTGCTTTCCAATCGGAACATACGCAGCTTCAAGCATTGAGCTTTGAAGTTTCATTAAGCAGCGATGCTTCTTTTTAGGGAATGAAGTTGGCAAACTCACGTCCAACTTTCCCCCATTACTACTAGACTTACAATCAGTTAGGCGAGATTTAGGAGTCTGTTAGCCGGGAATCGAACCCGAACCATATGAGAAGTTGGCCGAGTATTCTACGATTGAATGACGGACGTGCACATACCTTTACCCTTCATGTTTCCAGTGGAACATAGGGCCTCAAGCTAGTCGCTTGAAGCTTCTGTAGCAGTGTTTGATTTTACAGGATTGGGTTGATAGCCTCATGTCCAGCCTTTCCTCTTTACCAGCATTATTTCTGGCTTAGCGAGGTAAAGGAGTGCATCGGCCGGGGATCGAACCCCGGACCATGTGCATGGTCGGCGAGCGTCCTAACCCCTGTGTCACCGACGCGCACTTATAGGTGGAGTGTAATTCAGGTCAGGTAGTATAGGACTAAATTATTTCTTTCGGTTTAATTACTCGAAGCTATTTAGTTGCAATTCTTATGGGATAAAATAAATTTTATAAGAAATAACAAGTTGACTGACTGTGGTTATTCTTCGTCTGTTAGTTTTACCGATCCAGATTATGCTAGATCGTATGTTCACTGGTTATCGATTACCTTTTGTGCTATTGAAATTTTTACCGTGTGCCGAGGATTTATAAGGGGATGTTTATTCTTGCTAATCTTTTCTTTTTTTACAAATCAGTCTCGCCTGTCCAACTTGCCAAGTAATTTTGCTGAAGCAGATTTATTGGATTTACTAACAGCACTCTGTCCGTCAACTGTCTTCACAACAAATGATGCATCAACAGATGCTTCATTCTTAAATATACCTTCGTCTACTTCAAATTCACCATCAGATAATCTTGTTGGTTACGAAATAGTTTATCGTCTTATTAATTTTGCTGTAAAACAATTCAAGCACGCTTCTAATCGAGCCAACCAGTCATGTTATACTCTAGAATCAACAAATGCTGAATTGAAAAAAGCCCTGGATGAATCAAAACAACAAGTGAATCAACTAGTCGAAACAATAGATGGAATAATTGCTGATCAACGTCAATCTCGTGAAACTGAAAATAATCTGAACCGTGAAATTAAAGTGAGTTTTTATAGTAAAGACATGCCTCTGTGTGTGTGTGTGTGTGTGGTGTGTGTGTGTGTAGTACTCTATACAATGACTTCTCAATGTTAGCGTTAGAAGCTTCATAAACGCTCACGTTCTCGCTTTAGCCGGATAAATACACCTAGTTCGCATAAAGATTGAATAGCAAACCCCTCATATTTGAGTTATAAACAAAAAGATGACGAAATATGGAACAACACTTTCTTTCCGATGAGTCATTTTCAAATGCTGTGCAAAATCAGATTTATATTCAACATAGAATTCGTAATATTGTTCTATAAAGGGTGTGCGCCATATAATATGAGTTGTAATCTAGAAAACAATGTACTAGTCATCACCCAAATTTTTACGCCTATTACGTAATGTCGGTTTCTGTTTCTTACTCTCCACTTACTTCTATTGATTGGTTTTCTTCTGTTGAATATAATGAGCCGATG